TCTTCCTGCCCAAACCCCCCTCCCCAAACCCTCTTCACCAAATCTTCACTAAACCTACCTCATCCTGTCTCACCTCATCCTTCCTCCCCAAACCTCCATCACCTCAACCTCCTTCACTTCAGCCTCCCTCTCCAAACCTCCCTCCCCAAACCCTACTCACCAAATCTTCCTGCCCAAACCCCCCTCCCCAAACCCTCTTCACCAAATCTTCTTCACTAAACCTACCTCAGCCTGTCTCACCTCATCCTCCCTCCCCAAACCTCCCTTCCCAAACCCCCGTCCCCAAACCCTCCTCCCCAAACCTTCCTCAGCTTGTCTCCCCTCATCCTCCCTCCCCAAACCCTCTTCACCAAATCTTCTTCACTAAACCTACCTCAGCCTGTCTCACCTCATCCTCCCTCCCCAAACCTACCTCACCTCAACCTCCTTCACTTCAGCTTTCCTCCCAAACCTCCCTCCCCAAGTCTTCCTCCCTCACCCCCCCTCACCTCAGCCTCCCCACCAGGACCTGCCCCACCACGCTGACCCCTCACCATGACCTGCCCACATTCCCTCCCCAGGGTTCCAGGTTCTTCCCAGGTTCTCCTTCCTGGACACTCTTGTTCCATCACACCGAGAACCACCCTCGTCCCCACAGGGACCTTCCTTCAGGGGCTGAGGAGCTGGCCAAAGAGGTTCAGTATCCAGCTAATTAGCATGAAGCCCTTGTTCCTGATTAATTAATTAGCATGGGGCTTTGTGACCATCCCCTCCCACCCAGGACAGTGCTTGGACCACAGAGGCTGCTGCCCATGGCAAAGAGCACCCAGAAAGAGCTTCAGTTCCTCCATGTGCTCCATCCTTTAATGACCACTCAGCTCTTAATTAAAAATGCAGGGGGAGGGTTGGGGCAACACCAGCAAGTCCTTGAGGTCCTTCTTACCAGGGGAGCAAGTGTATCCCAGCCTGTGGGGTTGGGAAAGGGGCTGGTGAAGGTCTCCACTGCTGTGGGACTGGGTGGGCTGGTGGGTTTCAAGGGGTGGGGTTCCTGGAGGGGCTGGTGGGGAAAGGGGGGGGACATGGGAGGAGGAAAGTTTGGTGGGAGGAGAGGGAAGGTCCCAACCACAGATGGGTCACCAGCCAAAACATGCACAGACACCAAAGCCTTGGAAACCCTGGTCCCAAAAGGGCTGGAAACCAGTTCCTCTCCAACTGCCCAACTGGTTGGGTGAGTGGATGAGCAGCATCAGCTGTGGGGAAGCATCAAAGGTCCTTCTTGTGGTGACACCAGGGGAGCAGCTCCTGCCCCAGCCTGGCCCTGGTGCAGCTGGAGAAGGGACACAGCTTCAGCTGCAACTGGGAAGCCCTTCAGCAGCACCTGGGAATGAAGACCCAGCCTAACTTACCTATTTCATGGTCACTCTGCCCCCCAGGTTTCCCATCCAGGATCTGAGCCTTTCACCTTTCAGGTAGCTCCTCAATCAGCATCACAACCTGCTTCTCCCCACCAGAACCACAACCTGGGAGCAGAAGAACCTGCCAGGATGGGAACCTCAACCCCAGCTGCTGGGAATACCTTTCCTGGGTTGAAAAAGGTGGGCAGTGATCACATCCCACCTCCAGGCAAGACAAAGGAGGCACAGGGAAGGGGGGGAGGATGTCACCGTGTGAAGAGGTAGAAGTTTATTGGAATATAAACATTCAGATAAACGTGTAAGATAGAAAAAAAAACCAACCCAACAACAACATATACAGACACTTGTTGGAAGGAGACGTTGAGGTATTTATCCACCGCCTAGGCTATCACATTTCTTTTTTTATTACTTTTCTTTAATTCTTCTTTAAATAGGTCAGAAAACGAGTAGCAAGGCTGCTGCAGCTGTTGGGTGAAAACATCTGATCCATGGGGAGCACACACACCCACCCCCCCAGCAGCCAAAAGGACTCGGTGGGACATGTTCACATCCAGCCTTCCTCTCCCTTCTTCCCCTCTCTCCTCAGCTTTGATGCCTTCCCAGCACAAACTGGGAGCTGCTGGAAGTGGAGGAGCAGGTTTGTGTTTGCCCATCAAACCCTGCTGGTAAAGTTCTCCTTCCCTCTTGAAAGAGAAGCAAGCTGGGGGTGAGGAGGAGGAGGGGGGGGGGAGAGGAGCTCTCCCCACCAGGAACCGTCCTACCCGCAGTATCAAAACCCCTGAGTACTTTACAATCAAAGCAAAACCGCAGCGTGAGCCCTGGGGAAGGGGGGGTGGGATTGAGAGGAGGGGGGGGGGATCCCACCACCCTTGCTCAGCCTCCCCCAGCTTCCCCTGCCCTGGTCTGTGCTGCTGGTTTCCATAACCCTGCTCCCCAAAGCCTGGCAAAGCTCAGCAGGAGATCCAGAAGCTCAGCACAACCACCTGTGGAGCCCAGGACCAGGAATGGGAAGCCAGGCTCGGGGCAAGGGGTTCACAGTCTGAATGGTTGGTCCTTAACCAGCACCTACTGGGACAAGGACCAGTTTCTTGTTGCAGCTTTTTTTTTTTTTTTCAAATGAGGTATCTGTTACATCCCGACTTGATTTCTTTCCCTGAATTGGATACAAAAACAAATCTGTTACTCCCTGTCTATTTTTTTTTTCCAGTCTAGTTGTGTAAAAGCTTATTAAACATTAATACTCTAGTAGTGTCAAAAGCTGTTGAGCAGTTCAGTGATTCGAGTGCCTTTCTGTGCAAGGAAAACACAATGTTAGCAAGTGATACAAAGAAGCAAAAAAAACAAAACAACCCACCCATGACTCACCTCTGCTCCCCAGGACCAGAGAAGAAAGCACAAGGAAAAGCAAAAAGCCCCCCCAGTCCCACTCAGAGGAAACAAGTCCCCAAACCCACCCCTACAGAAAAGAAAAAAAAACAACCAAAAGAAAATAACAGGGGGGGTGGGGAGAAACAAAAACTAAACCCAACCCCAAAGCTGAATGAAGCTCAGAGGCTGGGAAAGCCTCTCTGAGCCTGGGGGTGTGAAATGAACGGAGGAGCTGGCAGGGGAACACCCCCCTGCTGCCCAAGAGCAGCTCAGCTTCCCCCTGCCTGGTGGGTGGGCTTTCCTGCAGCCACCATCAGGGGACATCAGGGAGCAGCATCTATCCCGGGACACTCAGCATTCCCACTCCCTTTCCCTCTTCCTCCCACCAGGGTCCACCACAACGCCAGGCAGCAGCTCCAGGGGACTGGGGGTTCCTCCATCAACTGAAGTCCCAAGAGAGCTGAGAACCTCCTGCAGCTTTCCCCGTGGTTCCCACCAACTCTGGGCTCCCAAGGACAGAGCAGCAGCCCAGGAGAACCTGAATCAGCTGCAGGGGGAGAGGAAAGGGAGCCCAGAGACCCCCTCTTTGCTGCAGGCAAACTTGGAAAAGCCATAGAGAACTTGGGAGACACCTTCATGTCCAACGTGGACACATCTTCTCAAGCCAAGAGTCCCTCTTGCTCCCTTTGTCCCAGCTCTGTCCTTCTGTGCCATGCCTGTGTCCCAGGACAATGCTGTCCCCACTTCTCTCCTGCTCTTATTATTTCTGTTGTCTTTGGTGATACAATTAAAAATGAATAATAAAAGCCAAAACACAAGGTCAGTAAAACAACATATAAAAAAAAAAAACCAAAACCCAAGCGAGAAGATATGCCAAAGACTTCCTGAAGAGGTTAAAAAATAAGCCAACCCCCAAAAACAAACAAAACAACCCAACAACAAAGTACATATCTGAGGTATTTCATCTGCTCAAAAAAACAAAACCTGACTTGGGCCTGGAGGATGGGGAGGATGTCACCAGGGCAGGATGGATGGTGCTGAGCTCCAGGCTGGGGAAAGGCCAGCGGGTGGAGAGAGGACAAGGTGAGAGGCCACCTGAGATCAGGAAGCCAGCTCAGTTCCTCCAGACACAGGAGAACCTTGGCCAACCTTTGCTTGCTTTCTACTGGAGGTTTGAGGGTGAGGAAGGGCTTCGTTTTCCTTTCCTTTGCTTCCACCAGGAGAGCAGAAGCTCTTTCTCAACCGAGAAGGAGCTGCCTCCTTTTAGCTCATGGGCAATTTGGAGAGGACTGGGCACTTGTAGGTGGTTCAGAGGCCACTGAAGATCCTGTGTCCCATTAACTGCACCACCCACACACCCCCCACTGCAGGTTTCAAACATCACCACCTCTTTTCTCAGCACACGGATCTGAAGAGCTTCCAGGGGCTGCTGAAAGGCACCTTTGGAGAAGGAAGTGTCTCCAGGAAGCCCAGAACAACCTCAGGGACAGCCCCTTGTGTGCCAAGGGGGCCGAGGATGAAACCAGCAAGCCAAAGTTAAGTTCAGGCTGGCAGGGTAAACCTCAGTGGGATGAAGTCCTCAAAGGGAGAGATACAAGGTTGAGGGCATATCAAACTTGGCTGAAAGCCTGAAGGCAACAGCAGGGACGAGGTCAACACCACCCAGAAGGAAGCAGCTGATGGAGAGGTTTTTCATGTGTCTGTGGGTCAAATGTAGTGGTGAGGAAGTCCCTCCCCTCTTGCCAAGACCTCAGAGAGGGGGAAGGAAGTTCACAAGCTTCTAGAGGAGGACACAGAAACAGCAGAGCAAGACAAGAGCCTGTAGAAGGCAGGCAAGGAAGCCACATGGCCTTCTCAGCACAAGCCCTGGGAGGACAGGGGCAAGGCCCCCTGCTGGCTCTGAGGATTGTCAATACACAGAGTTAGTTTGTGGGAACAGTCCTTCTGGCTCCTGGTTAGAGATGAACCAAGTTTCCCTGCCCCAGCTCCAGCTCTTTCCACCTGCCTTGGTGACATGTCAGCCATCTCACAACCTGCAGCTCCTGGAGACCATCCCTGATTGACCAACGCCAGGTGTCCCTCCCAGCCCCTGACAGGAACACAGCAAACCCTGGGAGGAGGAGGAAAACAAAAAAGCAAAGAGGGAGGAAGAAAGGGGAGAACAAAGCCAAAATTAAAAAAAAAAACAACCAAACTGGCTGGACAAGCAGATGATGAAGAAAAACTCGCTGGCATGGAAAGGTTTCAGCATCATCATCATCATCATCTTGTGTTGGCCAACCACAAAAGCAGGTTCCTTGAGATGAGGTAATCTGTGCGACTCCTTCCCTGCCCAGAGCAGAGAGGGAAGAGCTGCTGGAGGCCAGTGTGAGACAGCAGGCTGGGCCATCCATCAGAGAGACCAGCTGGTGGAGGGCTCTGCACTGGGGGTTCCCCGGGATGAGGTAGGGCTGGGAGAGCAGTGGGAGCTGCTGCTGCTGCTGCAGGAACTTTGGGTGCTGGAGCCTGCAAGGAGGTGGACGACTGGCTTCTGGGCAAAGAGCACTCCTGGAGGGCACAGAGAGGGCAAGAGGAGGGTTATTGGGATGATGAGGACATGGAGAAGTCTGTGCAACCTCTAAGACCTGATCCTAACAGGGAGAAGCTCAGTGTAGGACGAGCAGGCTTGGAGGCAGATCAGAAGGTGAAGGACAACCAGGGGATATGAAGGGAGATCCCCCTGGGACTTGTTCTGGCAGCCTCTGGCACAGAGATGTTTTGCCTAAGGAGGACTGGAAGACCCCAAACAGCTTCAACACCTCTGCAGGAGAAAAGCACCCCTGAAGTGCCAGGGCCTGGGCTTTGTCTGAGGACATATGTGGATGTGACCTGCAGAAGCCCTGAGCAGATCCAAGGGACAATAGCAATTCCTGCTTCCCATAGATGCCTGAGGAAAAGCTCAGTAAAGCTACCCAGCAACAGGAGAAGAGGGGATAATGCTCTTTTCCTAACACTTCTGGAGGGCTTTTTCAACCTCAAGGAAGGAATTCTAACAGGAATCTGGCAGGAATCTACTTAGGATCCAAAAGAAGAAAGAACAGGAATCCTTTCCCACTGCACGTCCTCAGCCAGGCAGGCTGTGTGTGTGTGGTTCCTCGGGCAAAGCCCAGCCCTGGGAGCACCCCACCCTCTCCACACCCCACCTCTGCCCCCCCAGCCCACCCCCAGGAGCAGTTCCTTCTCACCAGCATAGATTGTGCCATTGATTTCCACCGACATGTTGATGCTCCCGATGCCGTTGGGGGACACGTTCAGCGCCGCCGCCTCCGCTTTGTCTTCTTCCAGGAAAGAGGAGATTCAGAGTTAACTCTCTTAACTATCCAGCTTCCTACCCCGGGCAGAGATCAGCAAAAAGGTTGGCCAACAGCCCCTCTGTGCTGAGGAAACCCTCACACCACCTCCTACTTCCAGTCCTACTAGGAGATAAGTCTACAAAGGTGTTGAGACGCTTTGGCGGAAATTGAGGGTGGGCTGGGATTTGTGAATCTCTCCCCACCTGCCACACTGCAGGGGCCAAACTAACACCTCTCCCCCCAAAAAAAGCCTGCCAGCACAGCAGACAGGACTGGATTTAAATTGTCTGTGGGTTGTGGTTAGGTTTGTGCCAGTCCTCTCTCCCTGTGCAGGGCTCAGGGTGCAACAGCTCCGGTGGCCGCTGGAGGGAGGGGACACAGCCCCAGGGACTCAGCTCCAAGGACTCCTTACCTGCCCCTTCAGCACCTCTGAAATCTGTTCATTTGTTTCCTCAGACCAAAAAGTCCTTCCTAAGCACTGCTGGGGAGCACCAGGGCAGAGCAGGAGCTCAGGGTGCACTCAGGTTTAAGAGGAGGTGAACATCCAATTCTCCCCAAACCTCCAGTAAAGTTGTGGACCTGTTGGAAAGGGTCCAGAGGAGGCCAGAAAGGTGATCAGAGGGCTAGAGCAGCCTGGAGGTGGATCTGCTCTGGAGCCAGGCTGGGAGAGTTGGGGTGTTCAGCCTGGAGAAGAGAAGGCTCCTGGGAGACCTTAGAGCACCTTCCAGTGCCTGAAGGGGCTCCAGGAAAGCTGGGGAGGGACTTGGGACAAGGGCAGGGAGGGAGAGGACAAGGGGGAAGGGAGGAAAACTGGGAGAGGGAGATTGAGGTGAGACATGAGGAGGGAATTGTGGAGTGTGAGGGTGGTGAGAGCCTGGCCCAGGTTGCCCAGGGAAGCTGTGGCTGCCCCATCCCTGGCAGTGTTGAAGGGCAGGTTGGATGGGGCTTGGAGCAGCCTGGGCTGGTGGGAGGTGTCCCTGCCCATGCAGGGGGGTGGATGTAGATGATCTTTAAGGTCCCTTCCAACCCAAACCAGTCTGGGATTCTATGAATTTAAGGCAACCCACACTGGCAGGATTGAGTCCTCAGCCTGTTCCTGTTTGCAGAGACTAAAACTTTTTCTGGCAATTTGGATTGAGAAAGCTCAGTGTGGAGAGAGGAAAAAAAATACAGTGAGATGAGAGGGAATGAACATGACTTGCTAAAATGTGGATTCCCTTTCAGTCCCTATTTCCAGTTTAGTTTTTTTGGGGTTTTTTTGAATGTAAATGTGACATTTAGGGGGATGCAGAGCTGTCAGGAACCACGATGGCAAGTCCCAATTGCCATTTAACTCCACAGAAGAGCTGCTGCTGCTTCAAAGGGAAACCTGCTTTGACCCTTCACCATATATATATATATTTTAAGCCTCTCAAGAAAGCATTTACCAGCATTTCTAGCAAAGGCCTCAAGAACAACTCCTCTCTTTCTTCTGAGCCAGGCCAAACTTGCCTGGCCTTGTGCCTACACCCAAATGTGCAATTAATAGGGGGGTTGAGGCCTTTAATTTGAATGGATCAAAAGGCTTGGAGGAAGCAGCTGTTGGGGCTGAATTGTTTTGAGGCTCTCCTGTCCCATCAAGTGCAGCCCCCAGGACAGGTAAGGCAACTCCATCAGCTTTTGAAACTAGTATGTAACAGTAGTGACTCTGACAGAGTGACCTTTGCAGGGTGACTCCCCTTTTCCAAAGCATTTCAGGAGTGTATTTCTCAGGCCATGAATGCAGCTTCTACCTGACCTTCTAACCCAGCCCAGCCAGGAGTTCTTTGCCTCCAGGCTGTGGGGAGGGTTGCAGCAGATGTTGATAGAAATCACCCGACTTCCTAAAAGCCCAGGTCTTTGTGGTCTCCTCATCACACCTGACAAAGGATTGCTAAAAACTGGACATCTCTCTGCTACTCATCTTGAAAAAGCTTTTACCTCCAAGGATTACAAGGGTTCCTGAGCAGGAAAGGAAAGCAAATCATTCCCTGCAGCACAAGGTTGGTGTGAGGCTGAGGGGAGAGCAGGGCAGGGGAAAGCTGAGCAGCTGGTGTGTCAGAAGACTTCCCCTCCAAAAGTCACCCCCTTGCCTGCAGACCCAAGAGGAGCAGATATTAAACACAGGGTGTCAGGCCCAAAGCAATTCCCACAGTCCATGTGCTTCTCAGCCTTCCAGAGGGCACCAGAGCACTGCTGCAGGGACAGCTGAGCTTGAGCTGAGACTGGGAACTGCCCCCACCCAGGGCAGGCTCTGGGAACAGCTTGAGCTGTGAAGTGAGTCCTCTGTGGTCAGCACAGACCAGCAGCTCAAATGGTTCTGTCAGCTGAGATGCAGAGACTGCTGAATACAGTGAGGTGGGGGGCTGAGTTAAAGCCACAGAATGGTGGGGTTGGAAAGAACCTCTGAAGATCATCCAGTCCAAACCCTGCCAGAGCAGGATCACCTCCAGTAGATCCCACAGGAACATGTCCAGATGGGTTTGGAATGTCTCCAGAGAAGGAGACTCCACAGCCTCTCTGGGCAGCCTGTCCCAGGGCTCTGTCACCCTCACAGTGAAGTTGTTTTCCCTCATATTTAACTCGAAGTTCAGGCTGGATTCAGATGATGCTGGATTATGCATCAACTAGAGTAACAGAATCAACTTCCCTGTTCCAGTGAGGGTGGTGAGAGCCTGGCCCAGGCTGCCCAGGGAAGCTGTGGCTGCCCCATCCTTGGCAGTGTTGAAGGGCAGGTTGGATGGGGCGTGGAGCAACTTGAGCTGGTGGGAGGTGTCCCTGCCCATGCAGGGAATTGGAACAAAATGATCTTGAGGGTCCCTTCCAACCCAAACCAGCCTGGGATTCTATGACCAAAACCTCACACAATGTTGCTCCACTTGAACCTTCCTCTTACTGTGCTTCACTTCTCCAGCTTCTCTGGTACCCAGAGGGAGAAACAAGCCTGTGTGCAAGGAGGTGTTTTGACATCCTAGAGGGGGGGAACAGGTCTGCCAAGCCCTTTTGTGCCTCTGGAAGTGCTGCTCACCCTTGCCATTGATCTTGACCTTCATGGGGATCTGCCGTGTCATGCTGAACAGGTTGCGCTGCAGCGCCTGCTGGACCAGCCGCTGCTCCTCTTCTGTCATCCTGGACACCTTCTTCTCTGGAGGTTCTCCTGACTCCAGCCTCTCCCTCAGCTGCTCCAGGGTGGCTGTTCTTCCTGCCACTGTTGCCTGCTGGCTGGCCAAGGTCACTGGCACGGCGATACGGTTTGGCATAGACACAGTCAAGGGCACACCATCCCCTGCAGGAGGAGGAGACACACGCTCAGCCCCCTCCTGCCCTAAGCTCATCCTGCAAACCCTGAGCCACCCAAGTCCCACTGATCTCCAGTTCAAGCCAGATGGGGTAGAGAAAATAAGAAACCCTCTGTTTTGGTGCCTGGACCTCTTAACCCAGCCACCCTTCTTTGCTGACCTTTTCTGACAGCTGCTGCTGGAGACACCCGAGGGTTGCTGGTCCCGCTGCCCGGCGCCACGCCGATGATGGGGAAACGGATCTTTGGGGGAGACAGGAGGGAAGGAGGCCCCGAGGTGGTGGGGGAGTAGCTGAACAAGGAGGAGCTGTAGCTGGGCCTCCTGCCTTCCCTCCTGTTGCCATCGATGGCAGCCTGGAGCTCAGCAGGAGAACTGAGGGACTTCTTCTCACATTCGTAGGCGTACAGGTACTTCATGTACCTGGGGAGGAGAGAACAAAGAAGCTCAGGCAGTTTTCTCAGCACAACACCAGGTTTACAGGCTCCAGCAGCAAGCACTGCAGCCAGGGAGGCTTCCACACTGCCTATCATCACAGGTTGGTGTGGCCAGCAGGGCCAGGGAGAGGATTCTCACCCTCTATTCGGCTCTCATGAGACCCCACCTGGAGCATAGTGTCCAGTTCTGGAGCCCCCAAAATAAGAACATGGAGCTCCTGGAAACAGTCCAGAGGAGGCCACAAAGAGTATCTGAGGGCTGGAGCAGCTCTGCTCTGGAGCCAGGCTGGGAGAGTTGGGGTGTTCAGCCTGGAGAAGAGAAGGTTCCAGGGAGACCTTAGAGCACCTTCCAGTGCCTGAAGGGGCTCCAGGAAAGCTGGGAAGGGACTTGGGACAAGGGCAGGGAGGGATGGGACAAGGGGGAAGGGATGAAAACTGGGAGAGGGGAGATTGAGGTGAGACATGAGGAGGGAATTGTGGAGTGTGAGGGTGGGGAGAGCCTGGCCCAGGTTGCCCAGGGAAGCTGTGGCTGCCCCATCCCTGGCAGTGTTGAAGGGCAGGTTGGATGGGGCTTGGAGCAGCCTGGGCTGGTGGGAGGTGTCCCTGCCCATGCAGGGGGTTGGATCTGGATGACCTTGAAGGTCTTTTCTAACCCAAACCGTTCCATGATTCTATGATAAGCCTGGCACAGTTTGGGTGTGAAGCACAGCTCTCCCAAAGGAACTTAAGCACATCATTACAGGCAACTACACCCACAAGAGCTGAAAAGAATCATCCAGAATTCCTTTCCAACTGAGCTACCACCTAAAAATGGTGAAAATTAACATATTGGACTGTAACACTTACTGCAAGGAAGGAAGTCTGAGGAATTACCCTCTAAATCAGTGGTCCTGGGCAGCACCAAACCTTCCTGCTTTTGCAGGAGACACCCTGATTGTTCCAAAGGCTGCAGAAATATCCAGGAGCTTCCTTCTCTGCCACTCAGGGGCTCTAACAACTTCCAGGAAAACCAAGTCAGGGCAAGAGCTGGGTGAGGAGTCCCAGAGCCCAGCCCAGCCTCATTCTCTTACTTCTGTTTTGCAGTGGTTTTCCTTTCACCCTTCTTTTCTCCCCTGCTTATTTGGCTTTTTCTTCCTCTTTTTGTTTGTTTCTCTCATCCACGTGAGGTGCTGCATGCCAGAAATGCAACCCTCACAGGAAGCAGGTGCTAAAGGCAAGTTTCCACCACTTAATAGGGCTACCAGACACTGAATGATCAGGTTGATGCCTACAAATCAGGAGGTCACCCCCTACTCCTTGTGCCAAGTGCTCTTCAGAGGCAGAGCAAGACCCTCCTGGCCCCAAGAGAGGCACAGGATGGAGGGAGAGCACAGGGAACAAGGTGATGGAACCATGAGGAAGGAAGGGATGGAAGGGAAATGCGTTTGGGAAGCATCACTAAGAAAAACAAGAGGAGAAGGAATAGAAATGAAAACGTACAAGCCTTGGATGGAAGGGAGAAATAAAACAATTCATCAGCTGGTCACAGAGTGGATTTAGTCTCCATTTTCCTCCCCCAGTCCCTGTTTTGCACTTCCCAATTCCCAGTCTGTTCTCAGACTTCCCAGACTCACTGGGTCCGGAGGGTGAAGGCAGCACTGGTGATGGAGGTGGGCAGGTTAAGGCCTTTGGTGATCTCTCTCCAGATCTTCTTGTTGATGATTTCCACCAGCCCTCCTTTCTCAGTCACCAGCTTGTAGAGCATGTAGAGATCCAGGATCTGCTTTGCCATGATGGGGATCCGATTGATGGGAGTTCCTGCAGGGAAACAGCAGGGAGGGAAAACGTGGAATCAAGAAAGAAAAGGAGGCCAGGAAACCAGCAGGTTGGGGCTATTGATCTTCTTTCTAATAGGAAATTCAGCCAACTCTTTGTAGCTTGACTTGAGGCCTCTCTGTGGGTGAGTAAATGAGGCAGAGAAGTGCAGCTACATGGCACGTCCTTTCCGTGAGAAATCCTTTCCTGGAGGCAAAAGCAATTATCAGCCCAATAATAACCTGCAGCTCAGAGCAACTTCTGACACAGAAAGAGGGGAAGTGGGGACTGTTGAGTCCTTGGGGTGAAGGAGCAGCAAGGAGGAATCATTTTTTATGATCTCCCAGGGCAATCTCAGATAAAAATCTGGCTCGTTTTGTGCTCAGGAAGGGGCTGAGCAGCCAGGCAGCTCCAGCTGCTTGGACACTGGGATTCAGCTCCTTTACTCCCCAGCTGTCCTGTACTCCTGGGGAACAGGGACAGAGGAGGTGACACTTGAGAGGATCTCCCTCCCCCACTTACATTTGCCTCTGTCCTCCCTCACAGACACGTGTGTAACATTTTGCTGCAGCTCCTGCTCTCACCAAGCGTTTCCACCCTCCCTCTCCACTTCCCTGAGCACCTTCCCAAGTGACACAGGGATGAGGCCACCTTGGTAGCAACCACAACCCAACTGCTGGAGCAGGAACTTGTGGCAGGGAAGCTAGAGAAAGGGTGGTGGAGGTGGAGAAATGAGGGGTGTAAAGGAGCATGGTGGGACACAGCAGGATCCCAGCACGTCCTGCAGCCCAAAACAAGGCCCTGCTTGATCCTTGTGACTACAGGGCAGGGGAAAATAAATATATTTGTATATCCTTCCTCTTCAGTTTGGCCACCTTGTGGTTAACAGAGCTCAGATCATCATGATTTTTAACCTGACAGTGCCCTTTTTAGCAGCACCTTGCAGGGAGAGAGCATGCAGGGTTTGCAAAGGTCAAAGCAATGAGGTTTGGGCAAGGAGAAGAAGAAGGGGGGGGGAAATATGCTGAAGCAGCAAACCTTTTCTTTGGCATAGGAAACACTGTCCTGGATCAAAGAGCTTGCCCATCTGAGGTCAGTATCCTGCCCACCACAATGGTCAGCTCTGGCCTTTACAGGAAAGCCTGCAAAGGGTTGTAATGGACAATTATGGAATCCCCAAACCCACAGGGGAGACTTCTGCCACTGCTCATCAGCCAGTGATGGGGTTAATGCCCTGAAGCAGAGCAGTTTATGGCCCTTATAAATGGGTTTTCTTCTCTTTAGTGAAAAGGAGCTCAGCTCAGCCCTGCAGATGTCCTCATTATACATCTAAGTGTAATTTTTCTTCTTCTTTTTTTTTGATCCCCTCTTTTCTTTTTGAAGCCTATTATGCAGCAGCTCATGGTACCAATTCCCACAGGTTAGTGAGACAAGCTGGGGGGGAAGGACTCAACTTCTTCAGCTTTGAAGGGGCTGCCTCCCCCATTTTACCAAGTTACCAGCTCCTAAACTGGAAGAAAACAAAGAGCAACCTGATCCAGGCTGGGTCTGCTTGCCTCGTCATT